GGAAAGGTATCAAATGCTTCTCCTTTCAATGCCTTTAAAATATAATGATACATTTTATTAAATTTCATTTTTTTATAACAAATTTCATTATTGTTCTCTCCCTATTGTTTTATTAAAATTTGGAAGATATATATTTTTTTTTTGTCCTTGGTCAAAGTTGAGTAGAAAATTAATGCCACAAAATTATTTATAGATAACATTTTGTTCCAGTGACATGGATGCGACAAGTTATATTCATCCAAAAACATGAATTTTGGTTCAATTTTAAGGTGTATAGTTATTAGTAATTCATGTACATAAAATGAATGTATCAAACATTTTATGTTTATTAGTGATTTATAGTTACCACTCATTTAATTAATATCAACGGATCATTAATTCGTGGTCTCATATTAAAAATTGATGCATTACTAATTTACTAATTCATTAAAATATAAATATATCTCTGATTCTTTGAGCATTTTTCTCAGGATTGGGTCCCTGTTGTGTTAGTTTTGTTCCAATATTTATAAGTAAAGGATAAATTGAAATTAAAGTTCTTTCTTTTAAAAAATGATTATAATAAATAAATAGATTGAAACCAAAGTTAAGGTAGGAAAATTGTAGATGGGTTTGAAATAAATGATTTGACTTCATTTTTTTTACTAAAATTGGCACAAAACCAACATATAGAATTTATTTTTTTCTTTCTTAATAAGGATATAAGTGAAAATGGAAGGATTAAAAATCTTCATCAAATAACTTAAAATCATAAATGTTCTTGGGACTAATATTATATTAAATCCCTTGGAAAAAAGAAATATATATTAGGAGCTACAAAAGTCAACCTTCAAATTAATAATCTAAAAATAGACCGACCTCACACAAATCCACGAAGCAATTGCACTTAGAACATACCCAAAAACTCCTGCAAAATAAATAAATATTTATATATATAAAAAAAAGGAATTCACAGATCTCAAATATTAATAATGCAAAGGTTTTCTTAATCAAAAAAATAAATAATAATAATAGTAATAAATAATGCAAAAGTTTGATCCAATATTTTAATGAACTCAATAACAAATTGGTCTCCACACCTTGGGATATTAGGGGCCCGTTTGATAACGTTCTTATTTATTGTTTCGATTTAATTATTTTTAATGAAGAAAAATATATTGCATGGTTCCAACCTATGATAAAACAACATTTTTATTTATGTTTTTTGAACAAATTAGAAATGGAAACAAGGAGAAACTTGTTTTGATAGTTTCCAAAATTTCTATACAATTGTGAGAATATTCCGACCAGAAAAAGAGAAACAAGAAACAAAGTTAGTTGTAAAATGCTTATATTTTTTAAGAAAATTAGAAATGAGAAACAAAAAACACATGAATGTTACCAAATGAGCTCTAAAAATCCATTTCACTTTCATCACATGATACCACATCGCTTCATTTTACTTGGGCTAATGCCTAACCAGTTAAACTATATTATTGATAGTATTATTTTTAATTTGTTTATATCTAAACTACTTGTTTTATTTAGATAACAGTTTTAAGAAGGATTTTGTTCTTTATTAAGCTTATACAATTTTTTTAAGTCAAACAAATATTGGAGTGGTGTATCAAATCTTGATCAATCTTAGGAAAAGTTATATATGTCTTGTCTACAAGATTATATGCTTATTGAGACTACATTTGATACGTAGATTTGTTTATTTCAAATTATGAGTCTGTTTGAACTCGAAATCGTTTAGCTCAGATAGGTAATAGATCGGAACGTACAAGATGAGCTATTGGCCGTTGTTCAACACCTTCTCTGACCACTCACGAGACCTGCAAAACAAGGTTTTAGCACTCCGATGAGTAAGTTAGTTCTAGTATGAGTTAACTTGTCGATTTTATCTAGGATTGCGTACTTTGCATTTAAGGCAAGGGTTTCCATTTATAGGAACTGGGCCCGACAGGAACTCTGACACACCCTAAAAATGCGGCGTGTTGTCGGGTTCGGAAGAGACATTGTTACGGGCTTCGCTTAAGGTCGGTTCGGCCTCACAGGTCCTA